TCAGCTAGAATGACTCTTCCTCCATGCAGCCTTTCCTAAGTCTGAGTGGGAGCCCCCTCCCCATGCTCCTACAGAGTCTTCTTCTTTACTATAGTGCTTTTAACTATATTTTAATTTTCTTTTCTCTCTTCTGTTCCCTCTTGTATGTTATTCTAGAGGAAGAATTGTCTTCACTGTTGTTTCACCAAAGTTATCAGGGTACATTGCACAGAGTAGGTCCTCAAAAAACATTTGTTGAGTGAATGACTGAACATACAAGCAAGGGAGGCTGGATGACTGGGCTGTATTTAGGGTGTCACCTTAATGAATTCACTATCATCTAGGTGAACTTATTTCTCAGTTTTGCGGGTCTAAAAACACAATTAAATTAGTGTCCAGAGTTGACCTCTCTTCTACTAAAGTGCTATCACAGTAATAAAAGCTAGTAAGGGCTAACAAGGAGTCAATGAAAAGGAGCTCTCACTGACCTAAGTTAGACAATTTGAACATCAAAAATAATGATTAAGTGTATTGAAACATATCAAATATATAAAAATCCATGAGTTCATCATGGTAATAAAATAATTAGTCATAATTAAAGGCTACTGGGACACCAACTCATTATGAAAATTAACAAAGGGAAGTGATTAAATCCTGTTTTTCTGTTACAAACTGTATTTTAGAGTGACCAAATAGTTATTAATGGAAAATTCTTTACAGAATAAATTTATCTGATAAAGGCAGAGGAAAGATGATTTTAGAAAATCACCAATTCGCAACTCCTAACGAATTAATAGATCTATGCGATGATCATTAATCAATACTAAAAAGTGGAAGACTGATGGTCAATTTATAAATCCACTGACTAATCTTAGCATCACCAAAAGTAGAACAACTATACATTATGTGCCTCAAGTACACAGCAACACTTACGAGGTATTCTTGCCTTAAAAAAAAAAGAAAAGAAAAAGAAACTAAATCTAGTCAAGCATCTAAATGTAACTACCAGTTTATAAGAAATGCAGGGGACAGAGGAACAAGTTAAATGACACTGTGTAGAAGCAATCAGCCAAATTACAGAGTGTGGAACATTCTACAGAACAAATGACTTGGTTTCTCCAACAAATCTATAACATCCATTTAAAAAGGGGGGAGGGGGAGAGATTCTTATAGACTAAGAGGCACAATAATTTTAAAGGTATGGATTTTGCTTGGACTTTAAACCAAGTACAAAAAGACATTTTTTTAGTTGGAGAAATCTGAATATGGACTGGGTATTAAATAATATTCAAGAATTATCGTTAACTTGTTACATGTGATAATGACATGATGGTCAAGTTTTTCTAAATGTCTTTATCAATTAGTGGTACATACTGAAGTATTTCTGGATGAAATGAATCAGTCAGGTTTCTAGCAGAAAACAAGTAGCACAATCGAGTTAGGTAATTTAGAGAGAATTTAATAAAAGGACCCTTTCCAAAGATGTAGGAAGGCTTTAGGGAAACTATGAGGTATAATGCAGTGTTCCTGGCTTAGTAACAACAACTGTTACCACCCCTATGGCTAGGGGTGAGGAAACGAGTTATCAGAACCCAGAGACAGAGAACCCTGTGGAGAGAAGTTGTGATCTTTGGTTAAACCCTCAGAAAGGGGGCCAGAGGAATAGTACCTCAAGGTATTAAGCTCCTCCATTCCTCCAGTCTCCTGGCGGTGCTCTCCATTGGCAGAACCCACCTAGACGAGAAGGGAGTCCCTCACCTGCATTCTATAGTGGTCAGCCTCGAGGGAATCAGAGCAGGGATGAGAGGTAGAGGAAGAGCAGACTGGGAGGAGGAATCAGAAGATAGCCAGCAAAAATGACAAGATGTATAGAATTTGCTTTAAAGTACTCCGGCCTCCTCCCCACCAAAACTCTGGAGAATAAATGAAATAAAATTGGCCACCTATAGACAGTCATTGAAGAGCTGAGTAAAAACTACACAGGAATTCACTATACTATTCTCTCTACTTTTGTGTATGTTAGGAAATTTTAATAACTGAAAGTTTAAAAAAATGAATTAGTCCCTTACACAAGAACTCGAATATCACTTAACCATTTAATGTAAATTATATTCCTTCCTGGCAGTAGAAATTCCTGTAGCCTCTATTCAATGCCTATTCTTCCTGGTATTAAGAAACACGAGAAGTGAAACTAGTAAACAGCATGAAATCAGAGCAAAAGGAGAAGGATATTCTGGGATTTTTCAAACAGGCCAACTTCTGTAAAAATCTTTAATTTCTGTACAAACGTTAACATCTGTAAACATGTGATCTTAGTCATTCTACGTCGATTCAATTACTCCACCAATTTTAAAGTATTGGTGGTGCATTATAGTAATTTTATCTACCTGCAGCCTTATTCTTCCACCATATTAGAAGGTATCTTCTCTATTTTTTTTTATCCTCTCTGAGCCTTTGTAAAGTGAGAATAATAATATCCAATGTTTGGCACAAATTAGTGCTCAATAAATATCACATATTATTATGAGATTGTTATTGAGGCAGATTGTCTTATAAATGTCTGCTACTCAAGTATTTTTTCAACTAAAATTAAAATTAACAGGAAGATAGACTACTTTCGATAGTGTATTACTGAGGTAGGAGCAAAGGACCTCACAAAAATCTAATCGATCGTTGAGGATAGAGCACTAAATAAGTATCTTCCATTTCAGGGTCCAGCAACGGCTATCTTAAGACTTCTCCAGGGTTATGTTTTGGGTTTCTTCTCCACATAGGAAGCAATGCATATAATAATAAGACATAACTGTTTTATATTCTCATATTTAAGTAGTTCATGCCAAAGATTATAGGGACAGTCACATTATACATTTAGGACTTCATTTCTAAGAGTCACCACTCAAAATAATAACTAATTTGTGATGGTTGCACAACTTTGTGAATATACCAAAAACTACTAAATTGTACACTTTAAAGGGGCAAATTTTATGGTATGTCCATATATCTCAATTTAAAAATAACTCATTGATAATAGCTCTTTACAAAGCACTTCATCTGTATTATCTCACTCAATCTTCACAATAAAACCTTGGGTTAGCTCTTTACTATAATTTTATAATGAGGAAACTGAAGCACAGAGAAGTCTAACAATTTCCTCAAGATCTCATAGTGAGTAAATGCAGAGTTAGATACAAACGCTCATTTTCAAATGCTAAATCCAGCGTTTTCACCAAACCTACTCCTGCCTCTCAGAACCACACTGCCTTTTCCCTGGCCAGGATGTCTCTGTGATGCCTAGAAGCAAAGTGGTTGAAATGGGGCCAAAGTTGCAGGGGAAGCCAGACTCTTATCTTCCCAACCCACCTAAAGAGTCATTCTTCTTCATGAAGACACTGTTCTTGGGAACTGGAATCTTGAAATCTGGGTTTGCAAGATCCGGCTCTGTCCCTCATATCAACAAACACATGTGCTGAGGGAGTTGGGTGGTTTGCTTCCCACAGAGCTCTTAGCCCACAATGTCACACTGAAGACATTTTAATTAGTGACTTCTTGCTTCTGAAAATTGGAAGAGATTGATTTATGAGATGTGAAATACTCAATCACAAGTAATTAACTGGGCTTATTTCGGACTTGTTCTCTAATTGAAACAATATCCAAAGTTCTTTAAATGACGATGTATATTATCCTAATATCAAAATTTCGAGTCAAAGTCCAAAAGACTAGTTTTCTATATGGGTTTGGCAGGTAAAAGTGAATTATCAGCAGAGCAGTAAACAAAATATATTCACATAACTAATCCTCAAGAGACTTCTAGTAAAGGGGAGCGATGAAGGCGTTACACTCATAGGATTGATTTAAAAGCAACCTCTTTCAACAGCAATGATTAAAAAATAGTTTCAATTCCTAAATTCCTCCTGATCAGGCACCAACGCAGGAAAGAGGAATGGACTTCATTTCTCTACTTTGCGTATTTTGTGAAAGAATTTATTTTTTCATATTTCAGAGACTGTCTATTGGCACCACAGAAAACTTGGAGTTATAAAGAGAACTTTCATTAGTTACAAATGGACAAGTTGAGATTGGGGAGGTAAAGCTGAGGAGAACCAGCAAGAAAAAACACCTTCCAAGTTCTATCACTTGAAGCTCGGGCTAACAATTCCTCTCATTTTTGTTCCTCTCTCCCTCCTCCTTGGCCCTAGGAAATGCGGACTTGTGGTCAGCAGAGCCCGGTGGAGTCAGACCTGAGGCTGCAGAGGGCTGAGGCACCGGGAACCCCCCACCCCAAACCATGACACCTCTTCCATTAGCGCAGAACCACGCTAGGTGCGAGGTCTGAGGAATCCCCAACAGTCTCTCCCATCCGCACCCACAACGGGCCACCCTAGGCGGGCGAGCCGATGGGAGCGGGATGTGGCGGCAAGAGCTGCGGACCCGGGCATCATCAGACCTGCTCTTTCATTTTGAACTACAACTTATTGAACACTTCTTAGGTGCTAAGCTCTGTGCTACGTGGTTTTCACCCTTTTTAAAACAAATCGATGAGGCGGTTGGTATGACCCACAACTCTTATGAAGTAGGTGAAAAAAACGAAAGGTCAAGAAGACCCGGGGGATGGGGGGGGGGGGGGGGTGGGGATTTGGGAAGAAAAAGCAAAAAAGGAAAAAAACAAGAAGAGCCAGTTGCATACCCTGCTTCACCCAGGTCAAACCCTGATTCGCTGGACTCTGAAGCCCATTCCCGCTAAGCCAACCTCGGCCTCTGTTCTGCACCTCCGTCACCTCCCGTCTTGTCAGTCGCCGGTTAATAAAACGAGGTGGTGGCCGAGATGATTTTTACGGGTCTTTCCAGCTTGACGGATTTATAGTTTAAGGAGCTTATTAGGATTTATAGTTTAGGAGAACCCTCAAGATCCTCGCTTCCAAACACGTGTCAAAGCGCGGTACACGCGCACGTCCCGCTCCGCTCCAGGCGAGCACACGCCCAGCCGGCCCGGGGGCTCCAGGGGCCCAGGTCCAGGCGCTTCCCAGAATGCACGGCGGCAGGCGCATGCGCAATGGCCTCCAGGTGAGCGTGGTCGCTCCGCTCCCTGCCCCAGCCGTGCCTGCTTGCAGTCCCTTAGGGAGGCGGCAAGGGTGTGGGCGCCTCCGGCTCCGGCTGACCGTCGGCCCCTCAGCCGGGGCCCTAGCAGAGCTTTCCTCGCCATCCCCGCCTCCACTCCACCCCGGCTCTGGTCCCAGCAGTCGCCCGGGGAGGGGGAAGGAGGGAGGAGTCCTAGAGCGTGACGCCCCCGAGGCCTCCTGCTGGTCCAGAGTCGGTCCGGCCCGAGGGGCGTGAGGAGTGGGCGGGGCTGCGGACTTCGGACTCCGGCCCTTAGACCGCCGCCTGCCAAGCCGTAGCAGGCAGCCTAGTTTGGAGCTGAGCGAGCCATGACGGCGCTGCGGGCGCTCTGGTCCGAGATGCAGGACACCTGCACCTCGCTGGGGCTGATGCTGTCGGTCGTGCTGCTCGCAGGGCTGGCCCGCGTGGTCGCCCGGCAGCAGCAGCTGCACAGACCCATGGCCCACGCCTTCGTTTTGGAGTTTCTGGCCACCTTACAGCTCTGCTGTTGCACCCATGAGCTGCTGCTGCTGAGTGAGCAGGAACCCGCGCACCCCACTTGGCCGCTGACGCTAATCTACTTCTTCACGTTGGTACATGGCCTGACTCTGGTGGGCACCTCCAGCAACCCGTGCGGTGTGATGATGCAGATGATGCTGGGGGGAATGTCCCCCGAGATGGGTGCGGTGAGGCTGTTGGCTCAGCTGATTGGTGCTCTGGGCAGCAGGTACTGCATAGGCGCCCTGTGGAGCCTGGGGCTGACCAAGTATCACGTCAGCGAGAGGAGCTTCGCCTGCAAGAATCCCATTCAAGTCGACCTGCCCAAAGCGGTCATCGTAGAGGCCCTCTGCTCCTTTATCTTCCATAGCGCTTTGCTGAACTTCCAGGAGGTCAGACCCAAGCTTCGTATCCACCTGCTGGCAGCACTCATCACCTTTTTGGTCTATGCAGGTTGGTTATTCCCACAAAACACTTGGCACTTCCAGAGCTTCTATGACCTGAGGCTCTAAGTTCTTTACCAAGGTACATTTGAAACCCCTACACTTCTGTCAATTTTGGTATCCTTGTTAATCTAGCCATTTTGCAGCCCCTTCCTTACCGACAGGGCCGACATATAGATCTTCCATTCAGTGCTTTTTTGAACACCCAGAGAGAGGAGCCACTGCTATGCTGAAACTGAGATCTTGTGAGATATTGCCAAGGGTTCAGATATCTTACAAAGGGATTGTTTTAATGGTAGAGAGGAAAGATAACTTATCAGCTACCTCTTTACTCATGCCAACCTGGTATAGATCCTTTCTGACACTCTCACTGAAAAATGATCCTGGGTTTAAAAAGTTCCTTTCAATTTAAAGCACAAGCTACATGATTGGTTAATAGTAAGAGTGGGGAGTAGAAATTCTGTAGTTCTACTCCTTAGTTCTTTTTCTACAAAATTACTTAGTCATTTCTTATTTCCTTAATAATCTATCGAGTTATAGATGAACTTTTAAATGGCTTATTGAGAAAGATGTGTGTTTTAAAATTAAAACTTTCTTGAAATTAAAGATACTTTTTAAAAATAAGTATAACTCTTGAGAAATCTGTTGATTTCTTGTAAACCATTTGTTCCTTGACAGATCTCCGATGCAGTGGGTAATGTGGATACTCTAAACAGACAAGGAAATCCAAAAAACAAAAGTTTAGTGATTAAATGTGTCATTTTAAATGATTTCAACAAAATATCTTCATTGGGACTATATCTGAGTTATAAAATGTTTTGGAGGCAGGAATCCAGTAAAAGGAAATTTGTAGTAAGAGTCTATCTTCTGCCCAGTAAAAATGAAACTGTGTGTAGAAGCAAACCTTAACATAAGGATTCCTAGGGTAAAAATGACCTCTAGGGTAAAAAGGAAAGACTTTCCAATCCATCTTTCCTTCTTTAGATCTAATACCATTCTTTTGGTAGACACCAATGGACATAGATGGTATAGGAGAGAGGGATGGATATATGCATATCCGAGGGATTGGTGAGCAGTTGCTGATTTGTTAAAGTTTTAGGTTTTGGCTAAACCAGAAACATCCCTCCATGTGTGAACAGAATCATCCCTGCAAAAACTTGTGCCATCGTTTAGCTCTGCATTTATATAGTAAGAGCAGTAACAGCCAAAAGATGTTTTAAATTAATAAAATGTGATCTACAGTTGGGTCTTTCTGTACCAGTGTCCCTTCTCCTTCTCTTGACTACCCTGAAGTTGTTATTCTTCTGGTTTTTATACTTTTAATATATATTTATGATTCTATAAATAATACTGTATGTAATATTAGCCAAGACCTATTTTATAAGTGACAGAGATTTTGAGAGAAGAGAAACAAGGTATTATTTGAAGGTATAGATAAATATAAGGAAAGTTATTGGAAAGAACCCATAAAGCATCAATTTATGGTATCCAAAACACTGCTCTTTCTCTTTGCCTCACATTGCAGACATCGAAGTTGTTGAAATGAGGGCACTAATTGCTGGGGAGGAGGGGAGAGAGGAGTCCCAGAAGCAGTGGTTCTCAGTGTTCTCTCTGCGTCAGAATCTCCTGGGGAGCATTTGAAACACACCTGTGTTTGGCTGCAGAGATTAGATGTCATTGCTCTGAAAGAGGCCTAGGCGATGAGATATTTTAAAGTTTCCCGGGTGATCCCAGTATGAAGTCAGAATTGAGAACCACTGCTCTAGTCCAGACTTGTGTTGGCCACTTTGGCAGCCGCTAGCCGCATGGGGCTATTTATATTTAAATTAACTAAAATTGAATATTCAGTGTCTCATTTCAAGTGCTTAATTAAAGCCACATGCAGCTAGTGGGTACAGTATTGGACAGCGCTGGGGACTGTTTGCAGGGGGAGAACCCAATCGACAATTGTGGATTGCGACTGTTACAGCAGGTGATAATCTATTATGATCTTCCTTTTCTGACAATATGAGGGAGAGAAGACTATTCATTGAGCAATACGTCGAGCATATAGGACATTTATATGAATCATCTTAGTTAATCCTTACAACAACCCATTGGTGAGTACACTATTTTCATTTTAAAGTAAGTGAGGCTCAGAAGAGTGAAATGACATGTCCAAGGTCACACAGGTAGAATGTGCTGGAACCGTGGTTCAGACTGACACTAAACCTCATACTCATTTCATGATCAGCATTTCTACAGTGTGCTCCTCCAAAGTAACAAAAGCATATACACATAACTGAATATTATCCAGCCATGAAAAGGAATGAAGTTCTGATACATACTATGACATGGATGAACCTTGAAAACACGCTAAGCGGAATAAGCCAGACACAAAGAAACAAGTTGTATGACTCCACTTGTGTGGAAAATACAGAATAGGCAAATTTGTAGTCAGAAAGTAGAATAGAGGCTGCCAGGGACTGGGAGGCAGGGAGCAGCAGGGACTTCTTGTTTTATATGGGTACAGAGTTTTTGTTTGGGGTGATGGAAGAGTTTTGGAAATAGTGGTGATGGTTGAACATGTGAATGTAATTAATGCCACCGAATATACACTTAAAATGGCTTATTTTGTTATATATATGTTTTTACTATAATTAAAAAAATTTTTTTAGGTTATAAAAGAATTCTGTTGATAAATAATTTGGCAAACACTGGATAAAACAGGTTTTCTCATTTTAAGACTTCACAGAGCCTTTACTATGCTACTGTGAAACTTCAAGAGTTGGAACTTAGTTTTTCAAACGTATGGAATCCTTTTGTCTGGGAGTGAGTAGCAGAAGAGCACATGCTTTGGGAAATGCTGCGCTAAGCCATAGCCCTCCCCATTCTTTCCTATGGGTATCAGTCATATCTTTAGAACAGAGTTGTTCCAAGTAGAATGAACCCTCTTGGGACAGGTTGAGTGTCTGTCTTAGCAGGCAGAGGTGAGGCTTTTGTAGGAAGGATTTAAGAATGGATAGAGAAGGAAAGGCAGGGGAAGGGTTGGCTAAGTCGGGCATCATTACAAGTTACTCTGGTATGTCTTTAATTTTTTAAATTTTTATTTATTTATTTTTTTTTTGAGGAAGATTAGCCCTGAGCTAACATCTGCCACCAATCCTCCTCTTTTTGCTGAGGAAGACTGGCCCTGAGCTAACATCCGTGCCCACCTTCCTCTACTTTATATGTGGGACGCCTACCACAGCATAGCTTGACAAGCAGTGCGTGGGTCTGCACCCGGGATCCGAACCAGTGAACCCTGGGCCGCCGAAGCTAGAACGTACGGACTTGACCGCTGCACCACCAAGCTGGCCCTGTGGCATGTCTTTTTTTAAAAGAGTACTAAATAGTACCCTTTTTTACAATAGTACTAAAATACTATTAGTACAGGTTTGACAAAGTTGCGTACTGGGAGATTTCTTTAATCACTTGCACTTTGAGGGCGCTTGGAAGTCACCAATTCAGGCACCAATAACTGATTATATATTTTAATATTACAGAACATAACTGTCCAGCAGCATAGCCCCAGGCTCCTTGGACAGCCAGTGACAAGGGTCTGTGTGTTTATTGATCTAGCACCCTGCACTTTGACGTGCCGATGGAGGCCGCTGATGTCATTACCACTTATGTATTAGCTTCCCAATAAAGGGAAAAAAAAGCTGTGTGATTTATTAACATATTAGAGCTATAAGAACTATTAATGCGAATTTCAAGCAAATCTTCCTTAATTTAGGTTTTGGGAGAATTTGGTTCAATGAACAGGGTAAGAGAGAGCTGCATTCATTTTTTAATTAATTAGATATTGAAAAAAATCTGTTACTTTACACATCTAAGCAAGCTGTCTTTATTACTGCACCCTATTCGTTTACTTTTGTAGAATTTTTAATTATACACTTGTTTTCTGGTATAATGCCTGTCTTCCTCCACCAGATGGTAAGCTTTAGGAGTACAGAGACTAAAATTGTTTTATTCAGTGTAACGTATAATCAGGATTTAGCATGTTGTCACCTGGTACAAAATAAATACTCAGTAAGTATTTTTAGAATGAGCGAATGAATGAATTAGCAAATACTCTATTCGCTTTAAAAAATCACACAGAAAGAAATAATATGTATCTGGGAATTCTATATTTTATGTCTGAGGGCTTTCAAAATAAGCCTAATAAATTGTCTGAGGAAATTGTAATATTTTTACTTCATTTCATTACTCCATTCAGAAGTTTTTGGTATCACTCTAGGTCATGAAGAATATAAGTAAGATTGTTTGCCAAAGGAGAAGGGAACTAAGTCCTTTACATATGTTTGCTTTTAATACAATAATTCTATCAAATAGGGGCTAATTTACAAATGAAAAACAGCTTCAAACATCCAGACGTCTTTTATTATGCCAGTATAACACAGAGGATGAGAGTACAGGTTTGGAGTTGGACTATGGCCCTGGGAGAGACACTTAATTTAGGCCTCAGTTTCTTCATCTTTGAAATGGAGAATAATTCTCTCTCTCTCTTAAGACTATTACTACAATAGAGTGATGTATTTCATGTTCTTAGCATAGCACGTGGCACAAATATTCTGGTCCCTGGAAAGGGCTAGATTCCACTATAAATTAGTTAATCGACCTTCTGGCTTATACACGAGTCTTATGTGATTTTAACTAGCGTCATTCCATCACGGAGAATTTGATTACCTTTAGGGGTGTTGAGAAACATTAGTGCATAGAATTATCAGATTTGGGACCTACTCTTTGACTGTGGTAATCTCACCAAGTTCATGATGTCCTCTGAGACTCTGGGCAGTCAGCCAGCTGGATCTTCCCATCGATACCTCTTCTTTAACATGTGTAGTCTTCTCCCCTTCAATGTCAATAAATAACTTGTTTTTTGAAGCCATTTTCTGTTAGTTCCATGCTTGGTGGGTGAGTTAATTTTTAATAATTCATGGTTGATTACACAAGTAATACATGAATGTGGTTTTTTGGGAAAAAATTGAAACACTACTGATGAAACTAAAAGTGCCTTTTGACTGCTATTCACCATGCCCTCCATGACTTCTCCTTCCCGCCTCGAGATCCTCCACCTGTACGTTTGTGTGTGTCTCCTTCTAAACTCTTTTCATGTGCACTTATTATCGATAAGGCTCTAGAGAAACAATTATTTTATGTGTTCATGTTAACATAAAAGGTATCATTCCTTATTTTCTGTAGCTTGCTCATTTGGTGGCGGTGTTCAATGGCATATCTTTTTTTTTTTTTTTTTTTTTTTTTTTCCCTTTTTCTCCCCAAAGTCCCCCGGTACATAGTTGTGCATTCTTCGTTGTGGGTTCTTCTAGTTGTGGCACGTGGGACGCTGCCTCAGCGTGGTCTGATGAGCAGTGCCATGTCCGCGCCCAGGATTCGAACTAACGAAACACTGGGCCGCCTGCAGCGGAGCGCGCGAACTTAACCACTCGGCCACGGGGCCAGCCCCTCAATGGCATATCTTACAGATCTATCTATATAAGTAAAGAGATTTCTTTCGTTATTTCAAAACTGAATGGTATTCCAAATTAATAATAAAACTTGTTTAGCTATTTTCTTACGAATGGACATTTAGCTTTTTCCCATTTCTTTGCTACTAAAAATAATCAACCTTGTGTATATCTACTTGTATACAAGTATCTCTAGTTCTCTAGGACAGTGATTTTCAACAGTAGACAATTTTGCCACCCAGGGGACCTTTGGCAAAGTATGGAGACATTTTTGGTTGTTATGATGGGGGAGATGGATGTGCTGCTGGCATCTAGTCGGTAAAGGCCAGGGATGCTGCTAAACATGCTGCAATGCATAAGACAGCCCCCAACAAAGAATTATCCAGTCTAAAATGTCAAAGCCAATGCCACATATTTTGGGCTTTTTTTGGCACAGAACCCACTCCTGATACAGATTTCTGTATCAGTTAACTGTTGCTTAAAATACTAATTTATTACCGTTCATGATTCTGTGAGTTAGATGGGAAAGTCCTCTGAGATCGCATAGGTTAGACACTTTGTGGGGCTGGAAGAACCAAAGCAGCCTCACTCCTGTGCCTGGCAGTTGATGCCAGCTGTCATCTAAGACACCTCGGTTCTCCTCCATGTGGCCTCTCATCCTCCAGCAGCCCAGACCAGCTTGTTTACATGATCAGAACATGTTCCAGGACAGCAAAAAGTGGAAGCTAATGGGTTTATTGAGACCTGAACCTAGAAGTCACTCAGAGTCAGTCCTCACATCCAGAATTCACAGAGCATCACTTGTGCTGCATTCTGTTTGTCAGTGCAAGTTGCAAAGCCAGTCCATGTTCGAGAGAATAGATCCCACCAAGCTTCCACCAGGCCGCACCGTGCAGAATTGGTGGTGTGAGGATTAGAAGATAAGGGGAGTGAAGTAGTCTGAGTTTTAGGATGGTATAGGACTGAGTGATAGTGTTCTTAGACCTACCGGGACTACAGAAGCTCTCATGGGAATACTGAAGTAAACTAATTATGAGGGCAGTGGTTCATTGATAAATGCCTAAAAAAATAAACACAGGTCACTTATTATATTATCATAGCACATATTACATTATATTGTAAAGATCTGTATGAGTCCTTATCTTTCTGCCCAATACATAGGAACTCAATAATTTTTTGTAGGATTGAACTGAAATGACCACCTGCCAACCAGACAATTCTGTTGGCCCTTGGCAGTTGCAGATTTAACATTCCAGGATTTGACTACTCAAGAATGATTCTAAAGGTCCATGACGTGATGTCATTTGTAATTGCTGAGGCATGAATGTGAATCGTGATGTGAGGCTGGCATGCTAGAAAAAACTCTTAGCCGTGTAGCGAACTTAGTTCATTGCTCAACATCTTCATCTCAACACGGCTTCAATGTTTCCAGCCTATCAAGTGTGAAATCTCATTAGTGAAATCTTATGAAAGGGTCACTTAATTTCCACTTCTACTTTACTGCATTTTATGAGGACACTTGACATGCTATATTGGCGTATGTCAATATAAAATCTGTGAAGATCTCAGGCTCTCTCTCTTTGGCTGAGTGAGAGGCAGATGTGTGTGCCCAAACTTCCATTTGGAAGAACTGCCAGAAATGTCCCTATCTCAAGGATACTCTTAGGGTGTGTTTTGAAAAGCTGAGCCACAGCTCTGGAGAGTACCGTGGGACAGGCATTTTCGCTTCCCCTGCCTTTCCTTACTTGCTGTGTGGCCAGAACTATAAACTCCTAGGCCCCAGGTCAGAGAGATACCCTGGGGGCACAGCTGGACCACGAATCCTGAAAAGTAGTCAACAGAATTTGTGCTTGTCTTTCATGACTGCTCATAGTCAATTCCTTTTTTATTTAAAGAATTTTTGTAACCACTTTATTGATATATAAATTCACATACCATTCACAGTCACTTCTTCAGGGCTCTGTTGACAGGTAAAAATGGAGTCAATGATAATACTTTGGTCCATTTTCTGTTTTGTTTTCAACACAGAGGTATGTTTATGCCCAAGAGGATTCTAGGGTATTGTATCCATTTAAAAGGTATTTTCATTTATTTATTTAAATTGATGAATGTTAAGAAGGGCAGCCAAATCTCCTATTTTATAAAACTGTAGGAAGAATAATACAGCAGATTAACTTTCGATACGCATTTTATAATATATAGGAAAAGCACTGAATTAAAACAATGTTCTCTTTTTTGTTTTGGCACCTGGCATATTGTAATCTATAATCTATTTTTATACTCTATAATATGCCAGGTGATTCTGCAAAGGAAGATTATAGAATAAGAATACTTAAATACCTGAAATAAAATAGTCACATTTGGTAACCCCTTTATTTCCAGTTACAAGAAGATGTAAGATATATGGTTTGGTATCACTCTGCTTAAAATGTATTACAGGTGGAAGTCTAACAGGAGCTGTATTTAATCCAGCTTTGGCACTTTCACTACATTTCAAGTGTTTTGATGAAGCATTCCTTCAATTTTTTATAGTATATTGGCTGGCTCCTTCTTTAGGTAAGCATATTTTTATTTAATATGATTAAAATATTAGGATATCTTTAAAAATATGAAATGGTATGTCACTATTAAGATGTCAATTTCCAAAGCCAGAGTAGGTACAAAGAAGAAAATGAAAAAGGTAGTTAAACTGCCTGAAATAGTATTATTTTGTGCAGTATCCTTTAAAACTGTTTTTATCTTCAAAGAAACAAAATTATCTAGTTAAGGATGGTCTGTTTTAGGTATGATACCACTTTAAGAAACCCTCAGATATGAGGGCAAAAAAAGTAAGGAGCAATTACTTCTTCCATTAAAAAATAACCTCTTTTTTTTGCTAAAGGAATTTGTTTTTTGAAATTTGTGAGCTCCAGATAAAATACTATTTAGTTCATTGACTCATTTTGCAGAAGAGCATCTCATGAAATAATGTATACTTATAATATGTATAGTTTTAAAATTATCCACAAGTTACATTCCTTTTATTTCTCTCTGGATCAGATATATAAAAAATCCTCTATTCAGAGAAGTCAAATAACCAAAAAAAATTATAAAATAACTGTAATCATAATGTGCACTTCTTTATACAAGTTATATTTCTTGTTTAGTCTTCTGGTTTAAACCTGATTATAATTCATAACTATAAATGAATATGAGGCTGCCTGGTCTTCTATTAGTTAATCCTTCTTTTTATTCACAGTTTGCATTTTGTTTCTTGTTGCTCATTTTTGTTAAACAAACAAACAAAAAGGCTCATACAGGAGGGAACATTGGCACAAAAGGTTTGAATAGCCATTACACTTTACTCCTCCTATTCACGTTCCATTCCTTTATCTCACATTTAGTATCTAGAATGTTCGATAATAATGTCTATAGGCCTAAATATGAAGAATATCAGAGAAAACATGCATTTAAAAATGCTAATAATCATAGCTTTTCTTTTCAGTTCTACAGATGGCTAGTATTTTCCAATAATAACTTCTTTGAAGATAAATTTTCTCTATTCTTGATTTTTAATAAGTGAAAAAGTTCACTGAAGTTCATAAAGAAGTTAAAAAAGTCCCTAATTAGATAAAACTACTGATTGTTTTTATACTGAAAAATTCCTAATATGTCTTATTTGAAATCAACATATATTATTATTATATATTTGTTAATGTGCTCCAACTACAATTTTAACAGTAGGCCATGATACTAAGGAATTACTTTGTCGATTACTTGAAAGAACATTGAAAAGTAGGTTTTACCAAAAGAATGTTAAAGGAAGAAAAATCAGAAGTAATGATGTTCTCTGTAAAAGGACCATGACTTTTTTCTTTAAACACATGTTTTCTAGCCCAAATCACTTAATAACTTCTTCCTGGAAGAACATACTGGAAAAGTTTCATGATACATAAAAAAGGAACAATTGCTTCTGCTCCTTTAGAATGAATACAGACCAGAGAGTAGAAGGGTGGGGAAACAGACTATATTCTCTTCATGTTAGTGTAGTCCAAACAGGAAGGCAACATTACTTGAGGGCTTTACCAAAACATTTTAAAGAACTACTTACCCAGAAACAATCCAGATATCCAATCAAAAGACAGGTATACTTTTATTTATTTCTTTGCTTCCTATTCAAGGAATCTTTTAAAACAGAATTAGGATCAAACTTTTTTGCAATTGTGTATGGCCCTATTTAGCTTGCTGAAACTATGCATTCAAAGATTCTTTCTTCTTTCTTTTCTTTTTTGCTGAGGAATGTTTGCCCTGAGCTAACATCTGCACTGATCTTCCTTTCTGTATGTGAGCTGCCAGCACAGCATGGCCACTGACAGATGAATGGTGTAGGTCTGTGCTCGGGAACTGAACCCAGGCTGCTAAAGCAGAGCATGCCAAACTTAACCACTAGGCCACAGGGGCTGGCCCCAAAGATTCTTTCTTTTTTATTTAAAAAAATTTTTTTAAAGATTTTATTTTTCCTTTTATTCCCAAAGGCCCTCGGTACATAGTTGTGTATTTTTAGTTGTGAGTCCTTCTAGTTGTGGCATGTGGGATGCTGCCTCAGCATGGCCTGATGAGCAGCGCCATGTCTGCACCCAGGATTCAAACTGGAAAAACCCTGGGCCACCAAAGTGGACCGTGTGAACTTAACCACACAGCCACGGGGCCAGCCCTCCAAAGATTCTTTCTTAGTTAGCCTAAGGACCTCCCCGCATTTTTCTAAATTGGTCCAACATAAATTCTATTGTAGTTTTTTGGTTTGAAGAGGCACGTTCCTATACTTCTTTAAGAGGTTTATGAATGAGAAACAATACAGGAACCCTTCAATATATACGGATAAAAGATGTGAGTAAATAGCAGTTTTTAGAATATGGAATTCCAGCTGGCCATTGAATTTTGTCATATATTGAAGTTACATTCCCACTGGGGAACAAAAAGGCCTCAATTAAACTCTAACAAGGATACAAAAAATAAGAGATTATATTTTTACAAGAGCCATTCAAAGAGCTAAATAAGAGATGAGGAGTCAAGACAAACAGACAAAACCCTGTTAAAGCTGCTTCAGGCACTGCCATGGAGTAAGACGGAGGAGAGAAATCCCAAGCTATCTGTCTTCTTTCCCTTCTTGACCAACCAAAGAGCAAACTGTCCTTGGAAGTCATAGTCCTTGTTCCTTCTTGTTTCTCTTTATAGCAGAGATAATTATAATTCTTCTAATAGCCCCTGTCATCTCCCCAAAATTAATTAAAAATGTTAGAAATGTGATAAGAATGTATATAGAATTAATTCTCTAGTTTACATAATTCATACAATGAAAATTAGCAAATTCTATTTGCTTCTATGAAACTGCAATGCCATTTTTGGAAGAAGTTTTAAATGTCTTATTTTCTAGCTTTCACTTTATAAAGAAAATGTCAAATTTTGTGGGTCAGTTAACATACAGATTGGTTCTATTTTTGTTCATTTAAAGCCTTTGGCTGCAAAACAGATTCATCTTTCAAGAACATGTTAAGCTATCCAAATGGTAGTCAAACCATAAGGTTTCCTTTTGTTACAAGAGTAAAATATCAAATCCACATGTGACAAAAATTCATTTTTAAAAACATTATTTATTTATTTATTTATTTATTTATTTATTTATTTAGAGGAAGATTGGTCCTGAGCTAACATCTGTGCCCGTCTTCCTCTATTTTATGTGGGACGCCTGCCACAGAATGCCTGAATGGCTTCATAAGCAGTGTGTAAGTCTGTGCCCAGGATCCGAACTGGCAAACCCTGGGCTGCCAAAGTGGAGCATGTGAACTTAACTGCTGTGCCACTAGGCCGGCCCCCCAAATTTATTTATTTTTATTTTTATTTATGCTGAGGAAGATTAGCCCTGAACTAACATCTGTTGCCAATCTTCCTCTTTTTTTGCTTAAGGAAGATTAACCCTGAGCTGACATCTGTACCAATCTTCCTCCACTTTTTATGTGGGCTGCTGCCACAGCATGGCCGACAAGTGGTGTACGTCTGCCAACAGGATCTGAACCCATGAACCTGGCCACTGAAGTGGAGAGCACTGAACTTAACCACTATGCCCTATTTTTTATTTTTTACTGAGGTCACATTGATTCATAACATTATATAAATTTCAAAAAGTTGTTCTTAATCTGAGTTTAAAGTGACTTAGTGCTTTCAGTCTAAATATGCTAGGATAAAAACATTAACTGTTGCAGACTTCCCTTTCAAAACAGTGATGTAAGCCCTGTAGCTCATTCTCTCCCATCCCAATTTCCCATTGGAAAATTAACCAATGACTAAATGCTAGATTTGTCTGGTGTGACCTCAAAAATGAAGACTTAGTAATATGTGATCTTTTTAAAGAATTATATTTAAGATTAAGATACAAAATTTTGGCACTGACCAAAATTTTCTATATTAGATAATTTGCTTGATACAGCTCTAAAAGCTATTAATGGTTGAGGTTGATGAAAAAAAATGAGAAAGGAGAAAGTAATCTAACATACTCTTCTCATTTGAGCATTCCAAGTGAAAACTCAAAATTGCTTTCAGTTGCTTTATTCTCACTGCACATCCCTGGGGCATGAGGTACAAAGTGTTGCCATTTTAAAGAGGAGCAAATGGAGACCCGTCCAGAGTTTCTCACTCAAGTCAGTAATGGAGCCAGAACTAGAACTACAAATCTTTCTGTTTTATGTATCCTTTGAATTCATTGATTAGATACTACTGGTTTTACCAACTACATACTGTTTTTAAGGATTCGTGGTTGAAGAAAAACAATGTGAGAATGTTAGATTAAAAAATATCTACATGTTTCATGTTGAATTGATGTAGCCAATTCTTTTAAACATAGCTTCCCAAATCTCTCGGTATATAATTGTATAGAATCCTAAATTATACGCACTGAGTGATTATGAACTTCCTTAGAGATTGTTTTATTTTACTGTATTTTGTCTTTCAGGTATATTGTTGATGATTTTGATGTTCAGCTTTTTCCTTCCATGGCTATATAACAACCATACAATTAATAAAAAGGAATAACCATTCCTAAAGACTCAGACTAAGTTACAGGACAGACAAGCTGGACGTGATAAAGATTTTATTACCTCACATTGAACACACTGGCTGCAGTGGATTCATCAATCTTAGCTTCCTTTGAGGAAGCTGCCTTAGAATTTTCATCACTGAAACTTGAAAAAATTACTATTAAAATGAGGTATCCCGTATTTCTCAGTTAAGACTTGTTCTTTTGAGTGTGTAATGCTGTTAGAAAAGACTCATTACATTACATATAAATCTCAAGTGGTAACTGTTAATTTTGATGAAAAAAAAATGAGTACAGGGTGGGAAGGGAAGGGAAGGTGATGGCAGGACCAAAAGAAAGAGTCTGTATATCAAGTGTCTCCTGAATGAACGGGATTTTTAACCAGAGTGCAACCAGGCCCACTTAGCCAACTGCAGAGAGGATGCTTTTCAGCCCCTGCCTCACACAGCGATACCATCAGCAGTGTCATCTTTCAATAGGAAAGCTGCTTTTGGAAGTAGATTATATATCTACTCATACTCAAGGGGTTTCCTAAATTTTAAATAAATTCTAATCTAAAATATTTTCTCAAATAGACACTCTCACTAACTTTAGGCAAGTTGTTATTCTTTAATAGAACATAATAAAATGAAGCACCCATACAAAGTCACGGTGTGAGCTCTTCTCATTCTCATTTGATCTAAACAGCTACCTTATAAAGTAGGTCGGGCATGTATTTTTAATCTCTATTTTACAGATAAGGAAACGAAGTCCAAGGTCAAATACAGCCAAAAACCATCTTTAATTTCTACTTCAATACGAAAAATCTTCAGTCATCATTATGACTAAAGGAAAATTGTAGATTTTGAAGACACATTAACTACTTTATAATATTAAGGTTTGTTTAGGAATTAACTAGCTTTTTTTAGGCTTAAAGAACCTTCAAGTTTTCCTGTATTAGAAGCTTTATTCTATGAGGTCTACTTTTTATTAAAACTTCAGGCCATAAACGGTTAAGTTTGTTTCTCTTCAAAGGAAATTCCATTATGAGGGTTAAAATTGAAAGTAAAAAAATACGGGGGGAGATGAGATCTGCTTGAATAATAATCAATGAAGCAACTGATAAATTGCCGGGTAATTTAAGTGCTGCTTGGTGATCAGCTTGCAGACAGTCACTCTCTTGACACCTGCAGGCTGAACTGAATTGCTGCGGGCTACCCAACAAGGCAACCAGTTTGATGATCATGGACTTTGACTCTTGAACTTACAAATACACACCTAATCGTTTCTATTTTAAAAAGCAGAGTTCGTAAAACTGTGACAGTGGCTAAATGCAGTCTCTGACACATTTTATTTGGCCTGCACGGTATTAAAAAAAATTAAAAGCTAGTATTAAGTCTTTTTCATACAAAAATCCACAGTTCCAGCTTCTCTTGAAAAAAATCAAAAGACCTGGCAATACTAGGCCCAAATTCTGCCATGTCAAAACCACAAAATAATGGTGGTTCTTTTTAAAATGGTCCCTTGGCCACTCCCTATGTCTTCCAAACATGATGCTGATTTCACTTATTGTCTCATGGCTGTTTTTCTTATAATAGAGACACTTTATTTATGTCTCTATCATGAGGACGCTGTGGTTTAAGAAAAATGAGTATTAATTTGTGAAAATACCCAGCCCTCTGAACTTTACCTGTCAGAATTTGAGTTGTGACTTCTGATGACACTGCTTCCCCTGCAGCCCTCTCAAGGGGTAGCTTTTTCTCTACCACACCTCTGATACCACTGGGCCTGGAGGTGGAACAGGTTCTTTTCTCTTCATTGCTGCTTGCTGTCTATTCTCCTCTGCTCCTTCCATTAAAAACGTGTCATCAGACCATGCCATCTGCTACCTGGTTCTTACTGAAGTTTTCTCCTGTACAGTCCCCTCGATTCCCCCTCATTCCTTTAACAACTTAGCTCCTGTCTCACCCTCTACAATACCACTCCAGTTATATGTCTTGGTGATTTCAATACCCACAAAGATGATCCTTCCAGTGTCTTAGCCTCTCAGTTCACTGGCTGAACTTGAAAGGCTCTTCAGTAATTTTTTTTTCTATTCCGCCTGAGCTACAACTTTGGCCATAACCTTCGGCTTGTCATTACCAATAACTCAGAATCTTCTATGAACTCAAACACCCTACTTTCTAACCACTAACCCTTCTTTCCAGCTCCCTCACTCTAGTACCCCGTCTCTAATGATTCTTTGACCTCCATGAGGTCCAACTGATACCACCCCCTTTTCACAACTCTCACCCCTTTCAAGTACTCTCTTCTCCTTAAGCAGCTTAAATTACACACTTGCTTACAATCTTAACTCCCTTGTTCCTCTCTCTCTCCATCATGCGCACATGGCTTAACCATAACACAATTAAATCCAACTGTCTGCTTATTCCATGCCAGCAGCCACACATGAAAAGAAGAAAAATTGGAGATAGCAGGACAGTTCAAAGAGTTTTGCTGTAAAGGGAAGAAAATGTGGGTGGTAGCTGGAGGGGAAAATTGGGCCAAGAAAGAATTTACTTTTTTAAGATGAGAAAGATATGTTTATATGCTGACGGGAATGATGCAGTAGAAAGAAAATAACTGATGATGTAGGAGAGGGAGGGATTTCCCCGGTCCATATTTTTTAATAGGTTAGTGAAGACGGAATCAAGTGCACAGATGAAGGGGTTGGTCTTAGCTAGAGGCATAGACAGTTCATAGTAACGGAGAAAAGGTGAGAATAGATGAGCACAAGAGGAATTAGGCAAGCACATGCCATGTGAGAGTTTGAAGAAGTTTTACTTTCTTCTTCCCGTTTTCTCTTGAAGCATTCTTGTCAGACCTTCAACTCCACCGTTCCACTGAAATTCTTGCCAAGGCCATCAATGACTTTGGTGTTGCTAAATCAAGTTCTCATTCTTTTTACCTATCAGCAGTATCTGATATAACCGATTGCTTTCTCCTCCTGAAAACTTTGCTTCCAGAAAATCATTGCCTTCTGTTTCTTTTTTTAGTTCTTCCTCCTTTCCCCTAATGAGAATTTCCCAGGGCTCAGTCCTCTGAGCTCTTTTCTATTTATACTTACTCCCTTGGTAATTTTATCCCGTCTTGCGGCTTTATAGCAACTATATCCTAATGACTGCCAAATTTATATCTCCAGCTTGTACAACTGTTCTGAACTCTAGACTCATATCCATCAGTATATGCGACATCTGTCCTTGGTTGTCTAGCAGGTAACTTAAGTTGATACATGCAGCTCTGGTTGATTCGAACTGCATAATTTATCCATTCTAGTGATGGATATTTCTAGTTATTCTCTATTAAAGCAATGCTTGTGCATTTCTTCTTCTGTATACATGTTTCTCTAGGGTAGCAGGCTTTCATACTTTTCATTATGACCTGCTAGCATAGTTTGGTCCATCTACTTTTTTTTTCTTTTTTTTTGGAGGAAGATTAGCCCTGAGCTAACTGCTGCCAATCCTGCTCTTTTTGCTGAGGAAGACCGGCCCTGAGCAACATCCATGCCCATCTTCCTCCAGTTTATACTTGGGACACCTACCACAGCATGGCGTGCCAAGCGGTGCCATGTCTGCACCCAGGATCCGAACTGGTGAACCCCGGGCCGCCAAGAAGCGGAATGTGCACACTTAACCGCTGCGCCACTGGGCCGGCCCCTCAAGCCTCCATCTACTTACGCTTGCCCAGGTTACTGCCATAACTTCCTGTTTCTACTGCCTGAGTAATCCTATTAAAACAACTAAATCATGCCACAGCTTCCTATTTCAGACTTAAAGGCATGTATTTCTCCAGTTAACCATTACAAAACTATAGGAAACTGGTGTTGCACAATATTAATGTGTTGGGAAAAAGTGCATATGAACCAATGTGACTTCTGGATTATAGTGACATCACTGTCCTAATATTTAGCAATCGTTTGTGAGCTAGTTCACATTATTTAAAAACACACTGTAGCAAAACTGTGCTAGAATGCTAGGGCTAGAAATAACTACACTTTAAATCATCATATATAATGAATAATTTTCTTTGCTTCTAAAAGCTAACAAGATTCTACAACTTCTTGTAGAAATACTTCTGTTTAAGCACACTTTCAGATAATTATTCTGGAGCTTTACTACCACAGTGTTAAGTGCCCAGACTCTAGGCTGCTTCTATTTGCTACAGTAGCTTAACTAGTCTCCTTGCCTTTAGTCTTCCTCTGTGACATTCTACATACTCAAGTTGTTCAGACTTGTTTCCTAATCTGCCACTTCAGTCCCCTACACAAGAACCTGGAATGGCTCCCGTAACAAACTCAAGCATCACCCCCCGTCACAGCATTGAATACTCTAAAATTGCCCGTTTCCCAGTCTGAGCACTTTAAAGGAAGGACTGTATCTTCTTAATCTCTATACCCTCCAGCACATAACAGGTACTCAAAATATACTGTTCAAATGAATTAAAAGCCCCCTATCAATCCAAAATATTTCCCATACCTTCACAGTTTCCTCCCACTGTAGCTGGTCGATATATACCTGCTACCCCAGCCAGCCTGGTACCCTCTCATAGTTCTAAAGTCCATGCTTATTCCATCCTCAGCCATTCTTTTACCATCAAAGGTGACAAATTTCAAACTGCAAAATCATCTCAGGAAAGATTAGAAATCAAACCTCAGATGCCCAAACTTCAATCCCATTCCTTAAAGAAACTAGTTAACCGTAGTACGTGTATATGTTAACAAAACAGTTCAAAAATAAGTCTTTTTGAAGACAATTATGACTTTGGGGATCATGAAATGATTTCTGAACAAAACAAAAACCACAAACTAGGGGCCGACCTGGTGGTACAGTGGTTAAGCTCGCACGTTCCGCTTCTCGGTGGCCCGGGGTTCACCGGTTCGGATCCCGGGTGCGGACATGGCACTGCTTGGCGCACCATGCTGTGGCAGGCATCCCACATATAAAATTGGAGGAAGATGGGCATGGATGTTAGGTCAGGGCCAGTCTTCCTCAGAAAAAAGAGGAGGATTGGCAGTAGTTAGCTCAGGGCTAATCTTCCTCAAAAGAAAAAAAGCAAACCCCACAAACCATGAAAATAAAGATTGGTAAAGATGATTATATTAATCATTAAACTTCATGCTTTTAAAAGACATCATAAACAAAATGAAAAGACAAGTCAGAGACTAGGAGATTAGTATCTAGAATACATAAAGCACAGATCAATAAGAAAAAAATAACTTAGGGGATGGCCCGGTGGCACAGCGGTTAAGTGCGCACATTCCACTTCTCGGTGGCCCAGGGTTCGCCAGTTTGGATCCCGGGTGCAGACATGGCACCGCTTGGCACGCCATGCTGTGGTAGGCGTCCCACATATAAAGTAGAGGAAGATGGGCATGGATGTTAGCTCAGGGCCAGGCTTCCTCAGCAAAAAAGAGGAGGACTGACAGTAGTTAGCTCAGGGCTAATCTTCAAAAAAAAAAGAAAAAAGAAAAAAACTGGACAAAAAATATGAAAAATCAAATGTACAAAGCAGGAAGGTGTTCAATCTCACTAGTCATCAGAAACATAGACACTATTGTGATGAAATACTACTTTCATATGCGTCAAATTGGCAGAAACTAAAAAATCTGGAAATATCAAAAGTTGGTGAGGATATAGAGAAGCAATAAATCTTATTCTTTAATAGTGGAGGTATAAATTGCCATAATAGTTTTGCGGAACAGTTTAGCAAAACCTAGGAAAGTTAAGTATTCACATGAGTATTTTTAATGAAATTGTTTCTGGGATTAGTAGGAATGTTTGTGGGTGCTGGTGGAAAATGTGCTTACTGTCGGCATAATTTAAAGTGTGAATGTGGCTGTGATAAATGCACACATGCATAAGACATGCACAAGAGTATTTGTTGTGATGCTTAAATAATGAACAACTGGAACCTTCAATGCCCATCAAGAGAATGAACTGTGCTCTGGAGCTGCCTGTATCACCTTGGATAAAACTTAAAAGCAGCAGCAGGTTCAATTAATAAAAGTTAAGTAACATATAACCCAATACATATACTGTTTATGGGATACACACATATTTAGGAAAAATACACACACATGCATTAGTTATGATAGATAGCAAATGTGAGATAGTGGTTACCTCTGAAGGAGGAAGGGGACTGGGATCAGAGGATACAAAGGGAACTTCTACTCTATTTGTCTAATTTTATTTCTTAGCTGCGTGTGAGTATATGGGTATGTGTTACATTAGTCTTTCTAATGTGCCAAACATATTTCAGAACACAATTTACATAATTAGGTAATGATAATTAACTTTTCCTTTACCTGCTTTAGCTGCAGAGTTTTGCATTTAAACAGTTAATGATAATTATAAATTTTTAAATTCTTTGAAACTCTAAGATATACAGCCCATCTCTCTATTCCTCGGGTAAAAAAGTAGGACCATGGGGGGGATGTTTTAGCTTTCTAGTGCAGCTGTAACAAAGTACCACAAACTGGGGGTTTAGAACAACAGAAATTTACTGTCTCACAGTTCTGGAGGCGAGAAGTCCAAGATCAAGGTGTTGGCAGGGCCATGCTCCCTCTAAAGGCAGTAGAGAACGATCTGATCCAGGCCTCTCTCCTAGCTTCTGGTAGTCTCAGGCATTCCTTGGCTTGTAGATGCATCACTACACCCTTCCTTCTTCACATGGCCTCTGCCCATGTGTCTCTGTGTCCAGATTCTCCCTCCTTATAAGGGCACCAGTCATATTGCATTAGGGCCCATCCTAAGGACTTCATTTTGACTTGATTACCTCTGTAAAGACCCTATTTCCAAGTAAGGTCACATTCTGAGGTGCTGGGGGCTAGAACTTGAAACGTATCTTTTTTAGGGGACACAATTCAACCCATGAACAAGGGGGAAAAAACTCAGTCTTCCTCCTACCCCAGTCCCCCACCTCTCCCAGAAACAATTATTGCCACTTTATGTTCTTCCAGGGATATTTTTTGTATAACACAAGCAACACAACATATAACCCCATTGTAATCTCCAAGCCCTTTTCTTCTTTATATCTTTGTATCTTGATTTTTTTTTTCATTTAATGTGTCTTGGAGCTTATTCAGTATCAGTACATAAGGATCTACCTAATTCTCTTTAAGGGATAGTTTTCCATGGTACAGATGTACTGTAAATAATCGACCCAGGCCTAACTACAGATGTTGAGGTTATTTTCAGTTTTTTGCTTTTGTAAATAAAGTTGCAATTAATATCCTTGCATAGATGACTTTTCCTGATGTGCAAATTTATCTATAGGATAAATTTTTTTTTTTTTAAAGATTTTACTTTTTCCTTTTTCTCCCCAAAGCCCCCCAGTACATAGTTGTATATTCTTCGTTGTGGGTCCTTCTAGTTGTGGCATGTGGGACGCTGCCTCAGCGTGGCTTGATGAGTAGTGCCATGTCCACACCCAGGATTTGAACCAACGAAACACTGGGCCGCCTGCAGCGGAGCGCGCAAACTTAACCACTCGGCCATGGGGCCAGCCCCATATAGGATAAATCTTTTAAGTGAAGTTTCTGGATCAAAGAATATGTGCATTTTAAATTTTGACAAATAGCGTGTCCCTCAGCTTTTTATAAAAGGCTTTAACTTATTATACAGCACCTTAAGTTTGTTTTTTTTTAAGATTTGTAGTTGCAATAGACAGCTGTAAATTTTTCGCAGGTCAGCACTGTTCCTATTTGGGGTACTCCACCACTGTGAGAATCTGGGCAGGGCAGTGCCCTCCCACTATAGAAGCTAAAGGGACCAGATACTCTGTCTTCTGTCCCTGGCAACACACACAGTGCCAACGAGGACTTTGTGGTGACTGACTCAAAGACATGGGGGGCAACCAAAAAATCAGTCTAACAGCAGCAGAGGAATCATAACATGTATGTAAAACCATTTCTAGTTCCTTTTTAGGAGCCTGGTTTATCTCAGCTTTCCTGTCCATTTTGTGAGCTCTAATAAATTTTTTTCTGCTTAAATTAGCCAGATTTGGATT